AACTGATCTTCCTAAAACAAAGGACTCTAAAGAGGGTGACTAGACCTCAGTGAATGGACTTGCACTAAGGAACACTGGGGACACTGACTTGACACAGGGGGTCTTAACACAGATGGCAGACTATATGGGTTCCAGTGGGGAGGATACAGGAGGGTACCAGTGGGGACAGGAGTATAAGGATAATTAAAATTGTTTGAGATATTCTGTATAAAATAGAAAAAAATTCAATAAAAACAATGATTAAAAAAAATTCTAGGGGCTAGAGAAATGGATCAGCTGTTAAGAGCACTGGCTGTTCTTGCAGAGGATCTGGATTTGATTCCTAGCCCACATGGTGGATAACAACCATCTGTAACTCCAGGTTTCAGGGGAATCTGACACCTTCTTCTGGCCTCCAAAAGCATTGCATGACATGGGTGCATTTACACATATGCAGGCAATACATTGATACACATAAAATAAAAATAATAATCTTTTTTAACTTTTAAAAAAATTTTGAGAATTTCATACATGCATATAAGGTACTTTGATCAAATCAACGCCCACTCCCTCCCCTCCAACTCCTCCCATATCTTCCCCATCACTTTTTCTGGACAACGTCATGTACTTTTTTTTTTTTTTTTTTTTTAATGGGGCTTTTTGCTACTCTAACATTCTCCCCTCTGAAACGGTAACCCTAAAATCTTTTAGGGATTAGATAAGAACTCTAAAATACTTTTGACATTTTTGGCCTTTGGAACAGAGTATGTTGCTAAGAGGCCCAAGGACATTTTGACTTTTAGCCAAGAAACCGGCTATTTTTCTTTGGGGTCTTGTTACCCTAACTGCCTAGCCAGTTCCTGTCTCCTATTCTTATCACACCATCCTCTGAAGAGGTTACCCAACTTGCGAATAGGGAATCAGGATACAGACCGCTCTGGCTTTTTCCATGCTGAACAGGGATGCAATTGGGGTACACCTTCAGTGGGTCTATCTAAAAGACTCCCAAATTGCATAACTCTTAACTGTAGGGAGAAAAGAAAGTCCTTGACTGGTGCCAGGGAACCAGAAAAAGGTCAGAACAGGGCAAATTTCAAATGCTCATATCAGAGTCCATTGGGATTGCTTGACGAGAGCTTCCAAAAGCATCCCTCTATTGGGTTCCTCCTCATTTTTCTTTTGTCTGCCAAGGCTGGATTTGAGAGTGATGGACTCAGGATTTGTTTTCAGGCACTTTGATAGCTCTTGGAGTGGCTAGAATCAGTGTAAGTTCCCTCACAAAGGTTTCTAGATAGGGGTAGAAAACAAATGTACCCATCATTTTAGAACAATAGTGGGTTGTCTCCCTTAGCTACAGGTGGGCACTACTGTATTGTAGACCAGGATTTGAAGTCTTACATCTGAGAAGTACTTTCTGATTAGAAACAAAATCATCAATGAGAAACAATTGTCTAGATAACATTTTATATGGCCTAATATCTGGGAAGTGTAATCCCTTGAACTCTTAAATATACTGATCACTTTACTCTTTGGTTATACTTAAGACCATATAGTTGGCCCAAATAAACGAATTTATTTTTACTCTTAAGGTCATTTGAAGATCTGTTCCTCAGGGTTCACATGGGCTTGGGAAGAGCCTCTGGCTCCTTTCTTTTACCAGTTCCATCTATGTGAAGATAAGTCAAAGGTCCTACTCAACCATGGCTGACTTCACTTGGAAGCATGGAGGAAATATTTCCTCTATGTTGACCCTCCTCTTTGTAGACTGGACACTGGTTCAAGTCCATCTGATGGGGTCTCCATGGCCTCCCTGATCAAGAGGACAGGTAACTCACCACAGCTACAGGACATTTTGAGAGATGCTCCATGGTCCCCTGAAACTTAGTTGACCTTGGAGGGCAAGGAGCAAAAAACTGTCCTTTAAGTCCCTCTGACCAAATTAGTATAGGCCTCAGTATATGGTTGTTAAGCATCCAAGAAGGTTAGTTCCATCAGTCTGGTACTTTTAATGTACTGTATTAGTCAGGGTTCTCCAAAGAAACAGAACCAGTAGAATGAAAATATATGTATAGAGTTTTATCAGCTTAGCTCACAGGATAGAGTCCGAGTAGTCCAACAATGGCTGCACCACACTGGAGTGGCTGAGAATCCGTAGTCGCTCAGTCCACAAGGCTGGATGTCTCAGTAGTCCCAATCTGGTGCTGAAGGTCTGACAAATTCCAAAAGATCAGTTAGTCTTCTTCAGTCTACAGCAGCAAGACGAACTCACCAGCGAGAGAGAAGGCAAGCAGCAAGAAGCCAGGCGTTCTTCTCTGCCATGGCCTTTTATAAGGGAGGTAACACCCACATTTAGGGTGTGTCTTCCAGCTTCAGATGATCCAATCAAGAAGATCTCTGTCATTTCAGTTAATCCCAGATCCAGTCAAGTTGACACCCAGGATTAGCCATCACATGTACTATGTCGATAAAACTTGGGTAAAAACAAACCGTTCTCAGATAAACCTTGAGTAGACATATATTTTGTTCCTTGAACTAGTTGACTAAACTATGACCTCAGAAATTTCAAGAACATGTATATATTACTTTTGTCTCACCCTTTATATATCATAACAAACCTACACAGACCTTCATCACTTGCTTAGGTATATTCTCCCTCATTTGTGGATCCTTGCACCAAATCTTTTTAAATTCCAGGTCCGATATAAGATGATGCTGTACAGCAGTCTCTTCTGTGTGAAATAGCTACCATCATCATGACTTCAGCAGTGCCTGCTTGCTAAAAGGGGTCACAATTGGGCTTGTTGATGGTTGTGCTCCTTCATAAAAGAAGGGGCAATCAGGGTCATTGGACCCTCGATCCACTCTTCTCAGCCAACTGTATGTAATTTGGCCCTAATCACACATGGTCTCCTGGGTTTGGGTATGACTAAAGTATATAATCTGGGGAAGGCTAGGAAGAGAAGGCTTGATCCATGCTGGGTAAAGGCTTTCCAGTGTGCATACCCTCAGGTCACTCATACACCTCAGCAACCCCTCAGTCATCTCTATAGGTAAGCTCAGTAAATCATTGGTGCCCCAGAAAAACTTTAATCAATCATTGGTTTGACACCAGAACCTTAGAAGGGGATAAACATTGCTTAGCATCCCCAGGAAAAGAATTCGCACAACAGATGGAAAATTGATTTGTTAATGTTACTACATCTGATAATTATTAAAAAAGAAAATGAGAATGTAAAAGATGTTAAAAGGATATGGGAATGGAGATATTTTCCAAAATAGAAAAAATAAGAAATAAATTTTTTAAAAAAGAAATTCTAATGGACTTTGATTTGGACATTTAAAATTCACTCTATTCTATTTCTCCTGGTTCCCTGTCTAGAACTTGTGACTAACTATTCTTACCTTTACTTCTCCTTCATATCTCCTCCCAGGCACCAGTATTTTCTCTCTATAGCTAACAGTTATACAGTTTTGGTCTTTTAGATAGACATCCCATTCATCCTGCCAGGATGTTTCTCTGCTGTCCTGGTTCCACTGTTATCTGGTAGCTACATCCAAGCTGAAACAGCTTCTTTGTTTTGTGCAAGCAAAGGACTCCATGAAAAAAGGAGACCATGTGTTTCCCAAGGACACCTTAGCTCAGACTCCACAGCTGTGTATGCTCTCTTTATTTTGCAGCTCTATGTAATCTACAAGAATACCACCACCACCACGACCTTTGCACAGCCTGCATCCCTGGAAACGGCTGCTGCCACCTCTCTGAATAAATGCTGAAATGTCAGGCTCTGGTCATTTACCTAAACTTTATTCTTTCTCTGTCCTTCTAAATCTAACAGAATCTGTGAGTTTCAGGTCAGTCTGGTCTACATAGCGAGGCCACGCCAGCGTATGTAATAAGACCTTGTCTCAAAAAAAGAGAAATCCTTGTCTTATCAGCTAGGTTGTCATTCTCAGGAAACTTTACAATGTGGGTGCAAATTTCTAGAAGAGACATAGTGTCTATTTATGTTGTTTGTGTTCTTGTGATGAGACCTAGGTAAACTAATCCTCCTATGTGCACAGTGTCCTGTTTTGCTGTGGAAAGTAGAGCTGCCCTCCCCATATTTGTGACCAGACATTCCTGAAAAACAATAATGGATGTGGCTTCCAAATATCTCTGATACAAACCCATGGCTGTCATAGCCATTTTACTCATAGCCTCCACCATAGGCACCATGTGGCATCCTCTCAAAGCCAACTCCTCTGCCAAGGCTGTTATACTGTCAGCCAGCTTCAGGTTTATCATAGGATCCTGGCATATACATGGCTATAAGTTTTTGTGGCAGACCATGTGTTCTAAATTCAGTTAAACTGATGAATTTTGGTAGATGTGTACCCTGTTCTTTCCTTGTGTTTCTTTAGAGCATTTCCAAATATTTCCTGTGAAACACATTCCAGGAAAGCCCCCATTGTATTCTCTCCTGGAAGTCCAACAGCAGTATTGCCCCATTCAACTGGAGTTCTAGCCCTAGGAAAACTGGAAAACACAGGTCAGTGGTACCAGAAATACCTCACATTCGTTACACAATTCACTTTGAGTTAATTTTTAAGTAGTTGTGTGTTCTGGAACCTTCTTCCATCGCCATTTTTTTTTACAACCCCCCACATTCAGTTCTAGGATCCTGTATAAGTTCATGACCCACAGTTTAGGAAACTTCTTTGGAAATTGGTGAGATAACTCAATCTGGAAACCACTTGCCTTCTAAGCGGAGTACCTGAATTTGATCCCAAGAACCCAAGTAAAAAACCCAAGTGTAGTGGTGCACACTTGCAATCCCAGCACTAGGGAGGGCGACACAGATCTTTAAGCTTGCTGTCCTACTTGGTCTGTTCTAGGACAGTGAGAGACCTTGTTTTGCAACAATTTCCTGAGATAAAATATTCTGTCTTGGAAGCAAACTAAGGCAGGGGGAGTTCTTAAGGGAGGTGAAACATTCCATCCTACAGGAAAGCTCCTTAACTTCAGGAATTAAACAACACAGTAGCTTTCAGGAAGTCTCTGAAACTGACAAGATTTCCCAATTGTATTTAAACATTGAGGACTGCTGAGACACCTAGAAGCAGCCCAGACCAGCTTGATGCCTAAAAGAGACTCTTCAATCTCTCGAGATGTCTGAAAGCTGTGCAGTGTGCTCCAGATTTCCAGCTTTCTTAAGCTGTCACCCATGCTGGTTGACATATATATATATATATATA